AATTAATGTAAGTACCAAAAAATAACTGTATGAAATAACACGAACAAAATATTAGTGGAAATAGAATTTGAAAAAAAAAAGATAAGCATGTACGAAATCTAATTGTCTTAAAAATATTGAATAGTTATCAGGCAAACCCGTTACATTTCCAAATAATGACCATTCAATACATCAAACATAAATAAATAGAGACAAATTTAATTGTTTTTATTTAAATTTTTAAATATATTAAAAAAATATTATCGATTAAAATGTAATAAAAACTCTTATTTAAGGCACCGTGGCGCAGTGCTAAGGGCCGAATTAGTAAGGCGTACAAGTAATTCTGGTCTGGTTGTTTGTCCTCGTGAAAATTATCTTTATAAACTGCCCCCACGAGACAGGAGTAAATCTAAGTGCGTTTAAAACTTAACGTTTAAAAATGTATTTATTAATGATTCATTCTGTGATTTAACAAAAAATTAAACTATTGCGTATAATAATGTGAAAGAAAACTGTCGTAAGAGGTTACTAAGCAAAACTGAAACAGGAGTTGGATAGCAGGCTCTTCTTTATAACTCACAATTATAAAAAAAAACCGCGTTTGCCAACTACTGTCGACAACTATGACAAAATCATCAAGGGCAATTTATAGGGGAAGTCACTGTTCAGCAATGGATTTTTGATAGGCATGTATTGATGACGATGACGAAGCAATTGAACTCAAGTGTAAGAAAATATTACAAAATAGGCAGTCTATTTTTATTGTAAATACTAACATTTATTTATATTAGTAATGTCCTCCCAGCCGAATTTCGGCCACGGCGGCCTGCCTCAACGGAGACTAGCCATCGGCGCAGGACAGGATTATAGTGCCCAAGTGTATGCGCAAGCACAGGTGCACTCTCTCTTCCCTCACTCTCATAATCCGATGGGACGGTAAACCGACACCACCGGAGAGAGATCAGGCGCAGGACCAACGGCTTTACGTGCTTTCCGAGGCACGGGGGTGAGACACCGCCAACTTCCTGACTCCAAGCAACTACTAAGAATTTCTTGACAGAAAAACTCAATAATTAATTTTTTGGCCCGACCCAGGATTCGAAATCAGGACCTCATGATCAGCAGTCGCACTACTACAACCACTAGACCAACGACACAGTCAATTATTATTTATTTATATTATAAAATATTCAAAAACTATAATAAAAAATATCAGTACAACTAAAAACTTACATTACATACAGTCATACTCACCGTAACTAAAAACTTAAATCATCATATTACAGTCATATTCCCCGTGGCATCATGCCAAGATCGATACATCATCATCCGTATCATATATATATATATATATATATATATATATATATATATATATATATATATATATATATATATGCCTTTGAGTGAGAAAAAATAGCGGTCTTATCACCAGCAATCCCCCTCGGAAGTGAGAGAAGGTCTGTGCCTTGCAGTAGGATGTATATAGGCTGTGAATTTAACTTACTTATTAAAAGTCACTTTTTTGTTTCATTTACTGCTGGTTCTGAAAAGATCCCCTATCCTGAGAACAACCAGCAAGAAATAAAATTCTAAACGAATTAAAATTTTAACAACACAATATAAAATAAATGAAACATAGCTGATAGCGATTAAGTAATTCCCAAGGGTTATTATCGGCCATAAATTCCTTAATATTATAATAACCATTTTATACAAACTTCGTTTGATGAAGTTTTAGAACCTTGAGGAGGTTGAATTTTGTATATTTGATTAATATCTACTATCCCATATCGTCCCGCGAGACCAGTCGCGGATACAGTTCCTTTAGGAACTTCACCGCACGTGGATCATACAAACCGATAGTCTATATAGCAAATGGCACAAATATGTAGTCATCTGTCAGAGACCTTTACGTGGTAGAACCATGCTGCAGTTATATTAGTAGTATAGTTGAAGCACGAATGGGTCGGCTCGAATGGGGAAGGACCACGCTCTCACAGAATACCAGCGTAAATAAGCAGCTTAATACTGCTGTATTTAGTATGGTAAGTGTAGAAAACCGGAGACACTTTTTACTGGAAAAGAGGCATCCCATCTTAGTCCTCACGGGTGACAACGTATCTGCATTTTGATTCGTAATCAAGGATTGATGTAGATGTCTATGGGCCACAGCAACCACTTACCACCAGGTGAAGTATGTACTCGTTTGTCACTCTTATCCTATATAAAAAAGACATGATTATTTTTATACTATAATTTGATTTCCACATCCATTTTGTTTTTCTGTTTCGATTCGTAGCTCTCGGGTTTAACTCCAGTCGGCCTACTTTCGTATTACCTCGTAGGCGGCAGATGCAGTTCTTTTGTTTTGTTTGAGTGGCTTTTACGTCCACTAGATTGTGCAGTCGGTCGGGAAAACATTTATTTTTTGTATCTCTTCAAAAGAATCTATTTATTAGACTTATATTTAAAAATATATGTAGACTTGGTTAGAATGAAACACAGCTTGGTTTTTGACTTGAAGTTTTAAACTCTTTCTCTTCACAGCTATATCGGTTGTCACAATGGCTTCTCGTTTGCTAGTGCTAGTCTTTAAAATCTAACTTCCCCTCATTCTCGACGACTCGCAGTGGCTTAGCTATGAGTGGCTGCGCTGGGGTCGCGGGTTCGAATCCCGCACGGATCAAGTATTTGTATGGCCTACAATTAATTGTTCCGGGTCTGGATGTTTGTCCTTGTGCAATTTATGTTTGTAAACTGCCCCCACGATACAGGAGAAAATCCTAGTGTAGGGGTAACGTCTTTAAAAAAAAAATCTTATTTCTTATTCAGTCACTCGCTCATTGTTCACTCATTCTTAATACTTGCTCTTTCACTCACTTTCGTACCGTCATCTCGTTATCTTTATCACGCATTCATTCTATCATTTCATTCCTTTACGTTCCGTCCCACATATAAGTCTAATAAAGAGATTATTTTTTAGGATTATTAGGGTGTGAGAGTGGCGTAACGTAATTAATATCTATTTGTTCCGTTCGCGAATATAAGATATGCCGAAAGTTCTAAAACTTCCGTACTGTAAATGGCGATGTAAATGTGGCCCTTACACGAGGCGTGAAATTTTCCAGATCGGCTATGGAAAGCGTCAAAGGTGCGAGACGTCTTGCACTGCGGTCTTCAATCTAGATTGAAGCATAATGATTATGGTATATGCTCCTTTTTATAGAATAAGGGTGACAAACGAACTATAATATAGCTGCAGCATAGCTCTACCACTTAAAAGTTAAGAATTGAAATTTACTTTAATATAATTTAATTTAGTAAGTAAGTAAAATGTTTCGCATTTTCTTACTCTTCAGTATGTAATTTTTTTTACTGTTATTTATATCAGTTTATAGAAAATCCATACTGAATCGAAAGATAGCCCAAAATTGGGTTTTCCGAGTTAGTGGAAAATTATTGCTCGTATCAAAATTACGATATTTTTTAACGCGTTTTCCAGTAGAACCTCCTACATTATGCTATTAGCCTAAAAATCGGTAGCTACAAACTGTCTTAAAAAATATTTTCTCTAAGAGCTTTCCTGTATCTTGGAGAAGTTTTACACAATCACAAACCTAATATCGCTTTTTGAGACATGTAGTCATCTGTCAGAGACTTTTACGTGGTAGATCCATGCTGCAGCTATATTAATTGTATTGTTGCAGCCGGAATGGGTCAGCTCGACCGGGGAAGGACCACGCTCTCACAGAATATCAGCGTAAAATAGTAGCTTAATGCTGCTGTATATCGTACGGCGAGTATAGAGAACCTTTTTACTGGAAACGAGGAATTCTATCTTAGTTCTCACGGGTGAAAACCCATCTGCATTTTGATTCGTAATCGAGGATAGATGTAGATGGCTATGGGCCACAGGAACTACTTACCATCAGTTGGACGGTGTGCTCGTTTAACACCCTATTCTATAAAAATAGTCCTACTCTACATAAAGATGGGAGCTACGAGTCCCAGACTAACACAGGGCATATATCTATGATCATATACGTAATTAGATAATGTAATAACGGCCTTAGTCTTAGTTGAATAATAAGCAGAATGAACTTGAAATTTGATAATAATTATCAATATAATTACTACTACACTTAAAAGTTCTCGTTATCAAGAGGAGCTGAACGGCTTTTTAATAATTAAAGAACGTGCCAAGTTGTACACTATAAAAATCCATTAGGTGCCTAATTTGTTCGGACACGGAGCGTTCGTGCCAAGTTTGACTTAGCAGTTTGTCGCTCGAATATTAAAAAGTAGTCCGTTATGCCAAGTTTCTTTTCACTTTTTATTTTTTCATAGTAGTAGAATGACAAACGGGTACGCAGTTTGCCTGCTTATTGAGTTTCTTTCGCCGTTTCTTTTCCGGACAGAGGAACCTAATATTATGCGGTGGAGCCACGCAACAGCTTATATACGCTATTATAGATGTAGTACGAATGGGTCGGCTCGACGGGGCAGGACCACGTTCTCACAGAATACCGGCGTGAAATAGCAGCTTAATTCTGCTGTGTTTAGTGTGGTGAGTGTAGAGAACCGGTGACCCTTTTTACTGGAATCGAGGCATTCCATATTAGTCCTCAGTAGTTATAACGCATTTGCATTTTTGTCCATATTTGAAGATAAATGTGGATGCCTATGGGCCAAAGCATTCACTTACCATCAGGTGGACTGCGTGCTCGTTTGTCTCTCATTGCTATATAAAAACAACTTAGTTTGAAACGACGTACACCCACACATACTCGTATATGCAGCGCGGTAGTGTATAAAATTGTAAGACTTAGAGAGTGAGAGTGAGTTAGAGTAGGTCTTAACACAAAAAATTATATTGTATAAAATTTTTTACTATATTTTGTAACATTTTTATTAAAGTTTTTCGTTTGTTGCAGGAAATCGAGAAATGAAACGCAAAAGGTGTCACAGTTCATCAGGCGTCGCATAGTGACGTGTCCGGTGTCCATCTAGCCGCTATGACCTCGGGTGACGTCACTACAATGCGTTGCGTCCTCTTCTATCTGCTTTCCCTCTCCTTGCACAGGAATCTCGCGTTCGTTCTCGATAAACAGAACCCATACTCCCAGTTTCGCAAATGGAACGCCGGCCTGAATGGCACTCTCGAACTTGAATTCAAAACCGATCAGCCAAACGGTCTCCTTTTGTACACGGATGACGGTGGCACTTATGACTTTTTCGAACTGAAATTGGTGAACGGTGCACTTAGGTTGAGGTATAATCTCGGTGGAGGGGCTCAAATAATAACGGTGGGGAGCAACCTGAATGATGGGCATTGGCATCAAGTTCAGGTGAGTTTACATGTATAGTTGACCTTGTACTTGACGTGGTTGCTGATCATGAGGTCCCGGGTTTGAATCCCGGGTCGAACCAAAAAAAACGGTTATTGATTATTTCTGTCAAAAAATTCTCAGTAGCAGCTTGGACAAAAAAGTTACGCGATCGAGAGCCGCTTACGTCCAAAAGACAAACGAAGCATTCATAAAACTGTTATAACAATATACAGGAAAAAGATCTTACTAGAGTGATAACAATAATAATGTCCTCTAGACCGAATTTCGGTCATGACGGCCAGCCTCAACGGAGACTAGCCATCGGCGCAGGACAGGATTATAGCGCCTAAGTGTATGCGCAAGCACAGGTGCACTCTCTATTCTGTCACACTCATAATCCGAAAGGACGGTAAACCGACACGACCGCAGAGAAATCAGGCACAGGACCAACGGCTTTACGTGCTTTCCGAGGCACGCGGGTTAGAGACACCGATAACTTCCTTACTCCGGGCAGCTACTGAGAACTTCTTGACGGAAATACTCAATAATTGATTTTTGGCCCGACCCGGGTTCGAACCCAGGACCTCATGATCAGCAGCCGCACTACTAAAACCACTAGACCAACTAGGTAGTACTGGAGTACTGCTCTATTAAATGATATCGGTTTCTATTATTAGTATAATTTTTTATAATGTCTTCTAAGGACCAGATACTGGACGATTCAAAGAGAAGCAGACTTAGTGTGAACTATTATTATAATAATTAAAGTAAATATACAAGATAATATCCTCTTCTCCTTCATCACCGTCAAATCATCATCATAGCATCCCTTCACAAGTCCACTGCTGAACATAGGCCTCCCTGGGCCACCTCCCTCGACTTCCTGCATGTCTTACCCGGTCGTAACTCCATTTAATCAGGGGCCACCCCTTCGCACCGGTACAAAAAAATTATACATTTGTGTACTGGCATCTCCCGTTTTAGGGATGAATTATTGATCTAAGCACCAGAGGTCATGCAATAAACTAGGTATTGGTATTTTATGCGCTTATATAATATCATCTATCTTTTTTGTTATTTAAAAAAAAACACTATTTAAAAATACTGCTAACACTTTAAACTAATTTAAAACCATTTCTTGAGCTCGTCTTAATTTTATAGCTTTGGTTGTATAAATTATGTAAAAAGTAGAGGCAAGTTACAGCCTACATAGGTTCCACGGAATTTTCGCCACATTTCTGAAAGGATTTTTGGGCCCGGAAATGTCAAGAAACGTCGCGCTGCCTCAATACGTGTTGGCGGACTTCACCTTCTTTCTTATATATTATATATATTCATAATTCTTTGAATTATTCTTTTTTAATTTCAAACACGCAGGTTTTTTCTCAAGATGTTATACTTCACCGTCGAACGCGTAGTGAAGCTCTTATATTCAGCCCTTAAATTCGTAATTAGCAATTTCTTTGGTGTCAACGAGGATAGAACTCGGCGGTTAGCGTATTATAATATTTACAACGAGCTTCTATCCCTTCTTGGAGCCGTGGTAGCTCAGATGGTTAGCGATCGCTGTAAATTTCACAGTACGCGAGCTAATTGGGTTCGATCCCCGCCGGCACCAATGAAATTATTAATTGCAATTTTAATTGCTGATTTACCACGTACTCGGCGGTGAAGGAATTACATCGTGAAATACATCGTGAGGTAACATGCATGTCTGACAAATAAGAAAAAAATATTTCGAAGATATATGAAGCTCGGCAACACGCATTGGGGCAGCGCGGCGGACACTTCCTTGCCCTAAAACCCTCTCAGAAATGAGCAGATGCCTGTGCCCAGGAGTGGGACGTATATAAGCTGTAACTTTTACTTTTTTTAGCCCTTGAGTTTTCACGGCTCCTGCTACAAATGTCCGCGTATTTTTAATAAATGGAGTAATCTCTTTAATCCGTGTTGTGTGTTTCAACAGGTTGCACGCCGGGACGAACACACGTCTTTAACAGTGGACGGCATAACACAAAGTAAAACTTCACGCGGCAAGGAGTTCGTATTCGGCAAGTTCAACACTAACTCCGACGTTTTCGTGGGAGGGATTCCACCATCGTGAGTATCTTTTATCTTTAATTTCTTACTAGCGATCCGCGCTGGTTTTGCCTCGGTGGGATGTATTGATGTAGCGTTATTTTGATTTCAAATAATCAAAAAAAAAAAAAATATATATATATATATATATATATATAGAGTGTATGAGTTTGTGCGCAAGCACAGGTACATTCTCTATACCCTCACTCTCATAAGTTCGATGAGAACGCAATCCGATACGAACGGAAAGAGTACGTAGTACTAACGACTTTAAGTGATTCTAGGCACTGGTGTAAAACAACACCAATATCCTGACTCCGAACTGCTACACAGAATTTTTGGCCGATACGGTATCCGAACCTGGTACTTCATGCTCAGCATTTGCTCTTACCATCACTAGATCAACAAAACAGTAGATATAATAGATGTAAGAGTCTATGGGTTACAGTAACATCACTTTCCAACATACCACCAGAGATCGACAACCACCAGAGATTTTTCCGGACCGATACGACTTAGGGATATTCAAGAAAAGAGCCTACTCGTTCTTAGAAGACCGGCAAAGCATCTGCAATTCCCTTGGTGTTGCAGTTGTTCATGGATGGAAGTAGTAATTTACCATCAGGTGAACAGCATGGTTGTTTGCCGTTTCTCATGTAAAAAAGATGAAACATGGTATCGTTGGGCACCCTCACATCTACATTATTTAAAAAAGAACTCGTAAAAGTAGACTTCGTACGTATACTTCGTATTCTAAGAAAATGATTTGATGGTTGCGTGGCGCAGTGGTTTAGCCATGAGTTCCTGTGATGAAAGCTGTAGGTTTGAATCCCGCACGGAACAAGCATTTCGCGTCCAAATAATTGTATTGGATCTGGATGTTTGTCCTTATACCATTTATGTATTTAATTTGCCTCCACGATGCAGTAAAAATATTCCGATTTGAGGATAAATTTAAAAACAACGAAGAAAAATGAGAACTAGAGGCTGTATTTTGATATCAAACTATACAGGTTGTATAAAAAATATTTCTACAAGCAGCATAGGTTTGATCGTATATTTATATTTATACTGGGTGATGATTAGATTATCACATTAAATAGCACAGCGGTAAATACACGTTGATATGTGTCTGTTAAAATAATGAAATAAACAATTAAACAAAAATGCATCTATCAAACAAAATAAATAGCGTAAAAATGTACACGAAATAAATCATCCTTCATAATATTGGTTTACTGAACTGAAGTGACCTGTAAACGGTGCGGCGACGCGTAGCACTCATGCTGCATTGACACAGGTAATTATCTACCTACACTTGCCCAGACATAGTTAATTAAGTGAAAAAACGAAAAAAATCCTACCGTGAATAGAATGTTAATTATTGTTGAATATTTTTAGTAGTGAATGTTCCGAGAACGTTATGTAGGATAAGTCTTTTTATTTAATGTGATTACGTCATCGTCACTCCGTATAGCGTGTTCTCTTTCAAACTTAATTTTAACGCCTTCGCCTATTACGCCTTTGTTTTACAACAAAACTCCCTGGAGTGTGATCGTGTTTAGACAATTAAATCAACAACCAAAAATGAAGCATTGAACGATTCTAAATTTACGGGTCGTAATTTTTTATAAAGGAAAATTTCAAATTACTGATGGTCGTGATAAACAGTTAATAGTTTATAATAAATATTTTATAAGAAATTGTATAATAAATAAATAATTATGCATAGATAATTACTGTTGTGTCATTCCTCAAGAGAGGCCTGTGTTCAGAAGTGGACTCCTCAAATCAAATAAATTTTATTGTGATCAACAGGTTATAAGATATTTTTACTAGGAAGAAATTTAATGGCGCTGCGATCCATATAATATATAGCAAATATGAAAACATACTCCTCTATTTAAGTAATTTAAAAGTTTTAATGAAAAGGTAGGATAAATAAAATTTTGTGAAATATTAAGATAAAAATTAATAATTTGAATAAGTATTTGTATGCCCAAAAATAACTGTTCCGGGTCTGGATGTTTGTCCTTGTGCAATTTATGTATATAAACTTCCCCCACGATACAGAAGAAAACCCTACTGTAGGGTTGACGTTTAAAAAAATAAAACGAAACTTATATTTTAACTTAATTAATAGATGTATATCGCAAAAATAAATTTTCGAATAGGATAAAATAGAATTTCAGTTAAAAATTTAAATAATTTTTATATTGTGTAGTTTTGGTGCTAAAACAAAAGAGCTTAAACAAGACTGTTCTCTAAGGTATATTATGAAGAAATTTCGATATTCACTTGTAAAGGCTTATAATTATGACGATAACTATATAATTATTAGTTTCAAGCCGTCATATGGGTTACGGGCAAAGCACTCGTTTAAAAAGCGTATACCAAGCAATAAGTACGATGAACAAATACTGACACAATTTACTTATATACTGGAAGGATCAGATTATCGGAAGCCATAAGATTAGCATTTCTTATCGTCGCCTTTTATGTCACTCATAGGACAAAATGAGAAAAAAGAATAAAGAAACTTTATTCTGATCTAATGAAAAAACCGGCCAAGAGCGTGTTGGGCCACGCTCAGTGTAGGGTTCCGTAGTTTCCCGTCCATCACAATAAGTGTTCCCACTTATGAGTTTAAAGGTATCCATTATGTTCGCGCTACAGCAGCGCTCCGCGCTCCTGCAACTGCTCCCGGTAGTGGGTACTGTTGTTTCCATCCAAGTTCAAAATGATTTTCCTTTTTCATATTTTCTAAACTTATGGTTCAAAAGTTAGAGGGTGGGGGGACACATTGTTTTTTACTTTTGGAACGATTATTTCCGAAATTATTGACATTATCAAAAATGATTTTAGTAAACCCCTATTCATTTTTAAATACCTTTCCAACAATATATCACACGTTAGGGTTGAAATTAAAAAAAAATCACTTCCCACTTTACATATAGGGGGGCTACCCCAATAAAACATTTTTTTCCAATTTTTATTTTACCACTTTGTCGGCGTGATTGATACACATATTCCAAATTTCAGCTTTCTAGTGCTAACGGTCTCATAGATTAAGCGAGGACGGACAGACGGACAGACAGACATGGCGAAACTATAAGGGTTCCTAGATGACTACGGAACCCTAAAAATGAAATTAATCATCCAGCCATCTCGTTTTTCGATATTTTGATATTTTTTCACCAGTACTAGCATTTGCCGTAGGTGTTAAGTTTTTATATATATATTTTTTATATAAGATAGGGTAACAAACGAGCGCACAGTCCACCTGATGGTAAGCGGCCGCTGTGGCCCATAGACATCTACATCTTTCCTGGATTACGAGTCAAAATGCAGATGCGCTGTCACCCGTGAGGACTAAGATGGAATGCCTCGTTTCCAGTAAAAAGGGTCTCCGGTTTTCTACACTCATCATACTGTAAAACGGCTCCTTCGTTTAGAGGATATTTCAGCTCACAGTTGTTAATTATTGTGCTATTGCTATCGGTGCTAAATAAAACTTTGTTCACTTTTACGTTACTACTTTATTGAATCACCTTAATTCTAATCAAATGTTTTAAGGTTACGATTACACTCATTTATAATTATGATTGTTATTTCACATGAACGGACAATTGAGTACTTTAAAAAAATATAATATGTTAGGGTTTTATAAGATGTCGGGCTAAGAATCCGATTCCTGTTCAGTCTCCATTTCGAGGGAGCGTCGACATAGACAACGCGTCACCCCAGCCAAAACATAATGCAAGGCCTTGTGTTGCCAGGTTAATAATAATTAAATATTATTTCGTTAGATTACATCCATACGAAACAGCACCATTAAGCTACTATTTGACGCTGGTATTCTGTGAGATTATGTAGATCGATATTAGTTAAGACACGACCCCGCGTAGTCTCCGTTTAACGTTAAGAGCTGACGTCATTTTATTCGTACTATTTTCGGCGAACAATGTTTTAATTTTATTATCATCATTTGAATCCATATGTTCATTTGATGTTCATATCATGAGGGTGAATAAAAAAATTGTTCACCATATTGGATTTAGGGGACGTCATTTTATTTTTAATATTTTTCCCAGCAAATCCTTTCATATAATACCCACATTATGGGAGTGTATAAAAATAACTAGTACTCCATCTTGATTGGTCCGTCATAGTGGATTTAGAATGATGTCACTTAGTTAGGCATACTTTTAAAATTCCGTTACGAAATTTGACCCGAACAGTGCGACCCCAAAATCGTAATCGGGGTTTCCAAAAACCCCGGGATAATAAAAATACATACAAATTGGAGCAACTAAGTTTTTGATCACCAGCAATCGAGCAAGTTGTGTTATAACTCTTTAAACTTCGTACTGTGGCCATTTTCACATTGCAGCTTCATCATCAGATCAGCTAAATGTCATAATAATATTGCATTGTCATATTAGACGTCCGCCACATTGGATTTAGAATGAAGTCACTTTACTTATTGTTTCACTCATTAAGCCCTTTCATTTGATACCCATATCATAATAGTTGCTGAGGAAATGATAAATCGACAATTTGTAACGTCCCCCATTTTTGATTCAAAATCGTGCATAGTCTTGAGAATCAAATATGTGTCAAATTTTAGCTCGATAGCTTTCGTTGAAGTGGGTGAAATATTGATTGAATTATTTCGGGCCACACATACAAGTGAAGGTAAATAAAAGCTTTAAAAATCTATAATTCGAAATTAAAATGTCCATCGTCTATAAAATGCAGTTCCTTTTGTTTTTTCACAGAATCGAACAATTGTCACGAATGTCGATTAAAACTGTGACAGTCTGATTAAATGAAAATACAAAATCAACACGCCTCCATTATCATGAAATCCATTCCTTGATTAAATTTTATGATGCAAAAGAACCTTATCCGAATTGAGTCATGTTTCATTTCAGGGAAGTGTCATTTTAATTTGAATGACAATGATGCTGTTCTGGCAGACGCGTACTATGAATATTTCAGAATGCTATATCGCATGCTATC